AAAGCCGGCACAGCTGGACCAGCCAGTTTATTTAGATGGAGACAACCGACAAAGGTCTGATCGCTTAGTTCACGTATTCGTTACGCTTTCGCCTTCACTCCCCTAGCGTTTGTTTGTTCGGCTTTTTCACACACGCAAAGGGAAAACGTGTAGACCGTCGGCTCTTCGAGTACCCCGAAAGAGGCTTGCGACACAGCTCGACCTCAATTTCACTTTAGAGTCTAAACGGAAGAATTATCAAACAAACTAAGGAGTGAAGCGCAAAGCGAAGAATACGTGACTAAGCGATCGACTTCGTCGGTTAGTCTCACTAATTAAACTGGCTGTCCGCGCTGTGCCGGCTTTCTGTCGTTCGCCACGCCCTGTGGGTTAAGTCTCGACCCGCTGTCCTGCGAGTACGCAGCCGGACTGTAGGTAGCTTCGCCCGTTTAGCCGGGAACCACACAGGCCCGGAAATGTCCTCTTCGTTCACTTTGTGTGGTTAATCGCGCTAATACATAAAGGGACCAAAATTTTATCAACCGTTCCGTAAAAACTATTACAATTATGTGTGTCGCTGTGTTGTAATGTCAATATAAACAAAACACACATTTCAGTTTCATAAAAAAAATTGTGAACCCGTCTCAACACCGCGTAATGGAAGAGGCCGAGTTCCATCTCCAGTGTTAAGGTCGACGCATTAGGACTAGAAATTCAAGAGGACTTATACCGGTAGTTTCCCATTCCTAGTTATTTAAAAGGTAATTGTACACTTTCCCAAAGTTCTTGAGACATGCTTGGTTTTAGGAGCGTCGATTTTTTGTTTGTTTGTACCCGAAACGGACCTACGCGGAGAAATCTAATTTGTCCCCTCCAGCATTAACATGGTGTCCGAATTGTAGTAGTCCACGGATTTACTAAACTAACTACATTAGTAAGGATAAACACAATATGAGCATCGCCTCGTCATTTTACCAAATGCTATTATCCGTTACTGGGTAGCTTGAAAAGTCAACTAATAATGAAACTCTCGGTTATCACAAACCATAAGCAGCCTCCCAATTCTCTTGTTTCGAACGGAAATTTTTTAAGAAACTTTAAATCTTATCGCTACTTTCGACCTTTTCGGACCACACACAACTCTGCACTTGCTAAAGTGGGCGCCCTCTCTCATTTACCGCTTTTTTTCCGGAAACTTCTATACACAACATGGTTAAGTATGTAGACAAATGTGTGAAATCCTCTATCCGGATTTTTATACGAAATGCCTATCAAAATTCCTTGCGTCGTGGTGAAGTAAAACATAAGTCGTAAAAGATGGGTCTAGGTTTATCTGTATCCGTTTTATTTTTGATTGTTAAACTTTGTCAAAAGAAAAGTGTTCAGATTTCTTGACAGTTGTGCGGGACACACCAATCAGAGTAGGGCGACAGGACGCTCATCGTCGGCCTGACATCCATCGACGGCCAAAATCGGCTTGGTGTGTCCGGGGCTTTACAGGAGAACAAGTGAAACACACCATTACCGATTATGTATTTCTCTGGTTTTTAAAATAGTTGGAAGCATTTTTGATAATGTTAATACACAACACAACAACATATACAGTATAGTTGTTTTGTGTGTAAGTCAAGTATTTTTTTTAACACTTGCAGAGTTGTGCCATTACCTTCTCCGGCCAAGGTAGAGGTCACAATTCCAGCTCGGTAATCTCTGATCTTTAAGTTCTCCCTGAATATGGCCATCAAAGGGTAGGATCAATAACTTTTCCATTAACATGTGAAAGGGTTTCAAGAACCTCTGTACCAAAATCCTCCAGCTAAAAAACAACAAAACATGGCTTTCCTGGATCGCCTCTTTAGATTTAAAGGGGAGGTCGGTAATTGGTCACAGGCTTAAACAATCATCAGGTGCCTAAATGATTTGATTGATGTAATCATTCCTATTGTTTATACTGTAGAGAGAGTAAATGGTTTACGATAATAGCAATAACCATGAAACTTTTCAAGTTGATTACTTACTTTGAGACAATAGTGTTTGGTATTGTCGAGGGTTAAGAGAACAAAGCTTCCTTTAAAAAATCTTTGAAAATTTAGAAAGCGATGAAACTGGAAAGCCTGGTGTGTGTGAGACGTGAAGATTTCACGTGAGAGAGTATGCGAAAAAAAGGCCTTTGAAGATATGTATTGTACAATTCATACATTGTTTACACACTTTAGGAGAATAGGCTAAATATGTTTAGGATGTTTAAGGAAACCAGACAATTATTTTGTATTAGACATTTTCTACAGATCCAAATAGACATAGCAAAATAAAAACTTACAATTTGAAAGTTTTCTTTTCACAAGTCTAAAAGAACTGTACAAAATCTTAAAATTGACCAAGGCATGACAAACTATGTATTTTTGCCTGAAGTGTATTGCCTTAACAGAACCATTCCCTAATGTACTTTCATGTAATTGATGGGTGAGAAAGTCCATGGGGCCTATGCAATGGGTCAGTTTCCAATCACTCTACAAAAACATACAAAAAAAACACAAAGGCAATACATTCTGTTAACAGTCAAACTAATGTTGAACGCATAATCCTTTCATTTGAAGAAGAAATAAAGCAGATTGACAAAATGTATAAAAGGTAAAATATGAAAAGACTTGAATGATTTCGAAACAATTAATCAGGTCTTTGACCTACTGCGATGACTCAGGTAAATTATGGTTGACTAGATTTAATTAAAGCCTATTAAATACACAGCCCGGTGAGGCGACTCTGAAAGATTGCAGACAAACGATTGACAGGCCCACAATACAGCTGGCCTCCACATCCTATTCTCATATTCCGAGGCATTAGTACCATTTGAATATGTGCAGGATGTACTTGAGCAGCAGGACTTAGAAGAAAAGAAAGCAAAGGAACCACATAAAGAGAAGAATGGGAAATGTTTTTGTGACAAGGAAAATAATGGAGCGCCCCCCCCCACTTGTCCTTTCTTTCTCCACAGAGACGAGGCTGCCTGACAAGCTGGCCATTAGGAAGGTAATTTGACAAGCTGTGTAGAGTGCTTTCACTGCGCCCTTACACCTCTTGAACATCATGAAGCCTTGTTCTGTCCTCTTAGTTAATATTAAAAGAATACGCAGCCTGGAAAAAACTACATACAAACATATGACAGCCGGTCTATCAAACGCACTGTTCAGGTCAGCGTTGCTCTTTGAACTCAGAAGTGTCAGTCAGCGGTTCAGCCTCTGTCAACACTGTCATCAACTCTTTTTAATGTTTGGTTCATAAAGGAGACTACTGTAGTTGATCTTTTGTTCATCGTTTATATAGTTTACATTTAGATTTATGTAGTATGCGCACCTGTATGTGTGTGTGAGCTATTGCCTCTCATTCATGAGGCAGGATATAAGAAAAAAGGTCACCATCGGGAAACCATCGGGACAAGAGGGAACGGAGAGGAAATGAGATCCAGCAGAAGAGATTACGTGTAGGCGTAGGTTAAAGAGAGAATACTTCTATCAATGGAGAGCTTCTAAACTGAAAGACAACTACAACAAATGTCATGTTTTAGTTCATGTGTTGGAGGGCGTTTGACTGCATTTTATGCATAGACACACACACATACAAAACAGATTTTAATGTGTTTTTGCATTAAAAAGCCTCAGGTTGCCTTGAGAGGGAGGATTTGCTGCTGAAGGCTGTAGGCAAACTCAACCCACCATGCCTCTCTGCTCTATGTTATGCTATTGTTGTTCTCTCCTTCACCCTCCAGTGTCTCTTTCTCTCACTTGCCCTTCTTCTTTAATAGCCTCTATTCTGGTTTCTCCCCCCCNATATATATATATATATATATATATATACACATCCATGGTAATTCCTTATCATGTTACCAACCACATGTTGCACTTTTATTTCCTTTAGATGGTGGAAAGGTACATTATTTGATAAGGCTGGGCTCAGATATAAAATAAATTGAAAATTCTGTCTGTTCTATAAGAAATATTCCATGTATTATTATTTTGACATTCACTGTGCAGCATGATCTTTATGCAGAATACAACACTGCTTTAACATTCATCTGCTGAAAGGACAACGTTTTTATGGATAACAACTGCTTGATTCTATTTGACATCCTTTGTTGCATGTATTGCCCCTCGTTTCCTCTATGGCTCTTCACTGTAACTATCCAATATAAGCAGAAATGTCCAAGGAGATGTCTTTTCAAGAGAAAATCTGAAACATCTGAG